AGCAATTGGTTATATTGCTTTTCAGAAGACAAAAGGAAGTAGGATCCAGATCATAAATGGACAGACTGGACTTTCATAGATGTAAGGACAATTTCTTTGTAGAAGGGAAGAGGGAGAGGATGGTGCAGGCCCAAAAAGTTTGACTCATTAGGTGATGGGGAGGAGAAACTGGTCCAGAGGCTGTGGACTTTCTCTCTGAGGAGAAGGAAGAAGGAATAAGAAGTTTAGACAATGGGAATGGTATGAAATGAGCATTGTGGCTGTTGGAGAGCAAGCTTACTAGAGAAAACTAGTAATGTTTCCAGAAAGTATTCAGGATGGTTGATAATCAACTGATCAGAATGACTTTTCTATACTCATCTGTTGGGAGCAGGCACAGAGAAGGCAGATGATTGGGGTCCTTTGTTGAAACAGCACTCCATGCTCATTTATGGACTCAGTACTTAACTTACTTAAAGACTTAGCAACATGTAACAAAATGGAAACCATCGCTTTTCTTGGGCTTCTAGGACCCATATCTACTAGTTTTTCTCTTTCTTGTGTGGCCACCACTTCTCAGTTTCCTTTGATAGTATATTCTCCTCTACCCAATTATCTATAAATGCTGATAGGTAAGCTTGGGGAATAGCATGAAAGAGATGGAACATGGTACCTGCTTTCCTGATATTTATATTTTATCAGGAAAAACAGAGAATGAACAAGAAAAATTAATACATCATTTAATTTCAGTTGTGATCAGGGCTACCCAAGAAGTGTATAAGGCATTAAGAATATAAAGCAAGAAGTCCTGACTTGGCTTGATATTCTTTTTACATGAGATTTACCAACACAGCAGTTTGCAGGGAGCAGAGATCCAATAACTGTGATGAGTATATAAGAGGCCAAAGAGAGAGAAAAATAATAACCTTGTAGCTTGGACTTGCTTTAACCATATGAAAATTCATTTTTTTTAAGAATTCAAACTTTTTTTAAAGTGGCAAGGAACAGTTGACCTGGGACAATGGCAAATCTGTATCCCTAGAGAAGAAAAACCAGCCATGTTAAAAGAGGAGGAGGCATGGCTGCATCCCAGCAAAATCCATAATAAAATCAGTGTTGACATGAATAAATCTCAGTGCATTAAAAGAGAGGTATATTTAGGGAGGGGAAAAAATCACCTATTTAAAACATCATGCAAAGGATTTGGGTAATCTTTCATCAAATAGTTGGCAATACAAAGATATATAGGACACAGTTGCTTCCCTTAAGGAGCTCACAATTTATTTGTTGCTACAGGAGCAACAATATAAAGACAACCACAGATGCAAAGAAATATAACAATATGATTCTAGTCCTTAGAGTAGAATTTTTCAGGAATAATTAAATGCACCTGAGACGCCAGCCTTCAATCTCACATTTTCAGTGGCTTGGGAAGAGAGACTATATATGAAGAAGCAAGAGAACTAAGAATATTAAATGCATATGCCCCAGGCCAAGATGGGAGCCTGTGCCAAGCAGGTTCCTGGGAAGCAGTCTCTGTGGCAGAGATGAACACGTAGCTCTCTTGGGGGTGTGCTCTCAGGATCAAAGCACGTGGAGAGGAAGGGGAGAAAGTAGCATTGTGCAGGATGGTGATGCAGGCCTGGAGATCCCTAGACTGACTGTATGAGAAGTTCTCATACTGGAATTATCCCTAGTTGAGGTGCAAGGAGGGATCGATAGCCCTGCACTGATTAATCATGATTTGCAGGCTGCCTTTGGGAAGGGAGAGTGATATTTGGCAAAGAGACTTTTCAGTGAAGGCAATCCTTGAAGAAGGTTTAACAATGAGATGTGTCTGCTGGCAGCTAGAGAAGGCCTTATTTAAGGCCTTTGATCCTGAAGGAAGATCAGGACAGCACACGACCGTGCCCAGGCCCAGAGGGCACTTTCATCCCATTTGTTACCATAAAACCTTCAAATAAGATCCATAGAGTGGCATGCAGCCCATCTAGAGAAGAGAGAAGACTTCTATCTTACTGCAGAAGTAGAAGTACAAATTCTTCCATTTTAGTTAAAACCAAATTTAAATGACAAATGAACTTAATTGTTAGAAGAATATAGGCACCTGCAGCAAACGTTTGACTGAAAGTTTCCTTTCAATTAACATTAAGAATTGACATTAAGAACTGACACAGGGCAGCCCTGGTGGCTCGGTGGTTTAGCACCGCCTGCAGCCCGGGGTGTGATCCTGGAGACCTGGGATCGAGTCCCATGTCGGGCTCCCTGCATGGAGCCTGCTTCTCCCTCTGCCTGTGTCTCTGCCTCTCTCTCTCTCTCTCTCTCTCTCTCTCTCTCTCTCATGAATAAATAAATAAATAAAATCTTAAAAAAAAAAAAAAAAAAGAATTGACACAGGACACAGCGGCGCCTGGGTGGCTCAGTCAGTTAATTGGCTGCCTTCAGCTCAGGTCATGATCTCAGGATCCTGGGATGCAGCCCTGAATCTGACCCCTGTTCAGCGGAGAGTCTGCTTCTCCTCCACCCCCATTCATGCGTGGCTCTCTCCCTCAGATAAATAAATAAATAAAATCTTTTTAAAAACAGAGGAATTGGTGGAGATAATGCAAAACAAAATCTAACAAAACTGGGCTGTGTAATGTGCAGCAGAGACAGGATCACCGGCAAGCCTCTCCTCTCAACTGCTGAAAGCACAGAATTCAGGCAGGTTACTGCAAAAAGCTGTATTTACACAGCTCAATCTATGTCCTATTGAAAGAGCAGGACCAACTTTTGGCAAAAATGGGAATGAGAGCAATTGAAGCGTCCTCCATACCTTTTCTTATCATGATATGGCTGTGTGCTGAAGGATTTATTATCGGATCTTTCCTTATAGCAGGAGATGAGAGGCAGTTACTCTATTCCCAGATCTCTCTTCCTTCCATCCTCCCCCAATTTCCCCTCCTGACATTTTCTACCTACATCTCTCCCTCTCTGACATCCTACTACCTTCTAGTAGTAAAGGGCTACTCAGACGTGCACTCCTTGGGAAGTGCTTTAATTTTTTGTTCCAAGCCAGTGTGTTCCATGGGTTCATTTTGTGAACCACCTGTATTAGAATCAGGAATATGTTTATTTATTTTATTTTAAAGATTTTATTTATTTATTCATGAGAGACACACACAGAGAGAGAGGCAGAGACACAGGCAGAGGGAGAAGCAGGCTCTATGCAGGGAGCCTGATGTGGGACTCGATCCCAGGTCTCCAGGATCACGCCCTGGGCCGAAGGCAGCACTAAACCTCTGAGCCACCCGGGCTGCCCCAGGAATATGTTTAAAATGCAGGTTCCTGAATCCTACCCCAGACCTACGAATGCAGAATCTCTAGGACTAAGACCAAGGAATCTGCATTTTCTTTACAAGCTGGCTAAATGCTTTTTATGCACACTGAAATTGCAAACACCTCCTGCCCCTTGTCTCATGGCCTCAACTGTCACGCCACATGAACAGAGCTGAGCGGATGTCCGTTCACACTTACTGTTCCATCCATCTCAAGGATGGCCTAGCATTTTAACTGAAGACAATCTCTAAAGATTCATTCTCCATGGGGAAATTTCAGATACCAGGGCAAGATGATCACTGAAATATGCCTCCTTTCTTTCTTTTCCTTTCCTTCAGTTTTACTTGGTGATAGCTTTGTCTTCTGCCCTCCTCCAATCTTGGATCCTTCTAGTATACATAGATCAGTCAGAAAGCTATATAGACAACTTTAGATTTATATTTGGTTTAATAATTTCTAGTTAACGAACTTGGTTCTGGGGAAAGCACATTGTGATCAGACATGAAAACAAACTTTCTACCTTCCCAAGGGAACCATCTAAGTATTATGGGGAAGGAAACATTTTGTTGTCAAGTAAGTCTGAAGTATAACCAAATTAAAATTGTGCTGCTTCTTTACTACAGACCTTCTCAGAGCCTTTACTATGCTATTGTGCATTTTGCATTTACCAGAGGTGGTTATTTATGCATTATGTCCCAGCTCCTCTTGGAGAGCTCGTGGAAATACACTACTCTGTGGATCCCACTTTGGGAAATACCGTTCTAGATTTTAGCAAGTTGCCTGTCCATCAGCTACACTCATGATGCAGCATGTTTCATGTTTTTTCCATTCCGAAATTCTTTGGCTGAATATGATCTCGGGTAATTACTGTGCTGCTTAGTTCACCTTGGAGTTTGATTTAAAATTTAGCAAAATTACCCAAACTAAGCTTTCCTTTCTGTTATTTCAATAAACTTTAAATTTCAGTTACACTTTTCAGACTTCATAAAATTTACTTTTAAGCATACTATGTAATGTTTTATAAGTACATAGTACTTGTGTAAGTATTTGTACAAAATGTACAAAAAGTACATTTTGATTCTCTTCCTTTGGGTTGAAAGAACCTTATCTTAAACTGAGTATCAGTGTTCCTGTTCTCAGTGTTTATTTAAAAACCTGTGTTCAAAAAATAAATAAATAAATAAATAAATAAATAAATAAATAAATAAAATAAAAACCTGTGTTCATTATAGACTCATATTTCAATTGTATCCCTTTTATTCCACCTAGCATTTTGGTATTTGTGGGGAAAAGACTTTTTGAAACAATATTTGCATGTGTCTCAAATAAACATTTAAATTCACACAGCTTTCAGTATAAAGTTCTAAATGACTACTTTTTAGGGAACTCAGATGTTATTTTCACAAATATTTCCTTTCTATTTCATTCTTTTAAGAATGCTTTCTCTTATTTTCCCAGAAAGGATCAGATCTTCTTTATTAATAATTTCTTGAATTTCCTTTAAATCTTGAAAGAGTTGAACTATAAAGTGCCAGTGGGATAACAATGCATATTTCATGATAAAGACCTAATCAAGAATCAATAAGGCATTGAAGTTTTAGAGGTTGAAGTTGGAACCATTCCACTCAAATTCATTTTAGAAATGCAGTTTTGTATAGATAAAATAAGATTATAATTAATGTTTTAATGGACTTTATTTTCAGCGTCCACAGAGGTGGGTTGTGATGCTGTCTGGGAGAAGGATCTCAATTCACACATTTGCTACCAATTCAACCTGCTTTCCTCTCTTTCCTGGAGTGAGGCACATTCTTCATGCCAGATGCAAGGAGGAGCTTTACTAAGTATTGCAGATGAGAATGAAGAAAATTTCATAAGGAGTAAGTAGGTGGATGACGCACACTGATATTAATGCAATTAAAATGACTTAACTATTATGTTCAGGTATGCAAAAATATATTCTGAAAAAAAAAAGCCCCAGGGCACCTGGGTGGCTCAGTGGCTGAGCCTTTGGCTCAGAGGGTGATCCCACGTCGGGCTCCCTGCATGCAGCCTGCTTCTCCCTCTGCCTGTGTCTCTGCCTCTCTTTCTGTCTTTAATGAATAAATAAATAAAATCTTTAAAAAAAAAAGTCCCTTAGAAAATGTTTTCTTTTATTAGTATGCCAATTCATGCCCAAAATTGTGACCTGTCTCCTGGGCCATTCCATCTGGCACGCGGGCATCTTCCTTATTTTCTTTCCCTTGGAGAAAGGAAGTTGAGGCCCCAGCAAGGGACCAGAACAATTTGCAGCTCTAGCAGGTGGATCTGGGAGACTTACAAACTTAAATACAAATTCCTAAAAAAAAAAATTAAAAAATAAAAATAAAACAAAATAAAATACAAAAACAAATTCCTGCTCTGCTGGAGATCGTAGCTATTCAGCTTCCATTAATGAATAAATAAGTTACTTGTTAATTAAACAAAATCTCACCTGTTAGTCAATATGCACAAATACAAAGGACTTCTCATGGAGGACAAAGAACTTAAAATTTGGTTAGAAAAGCAAAAGCACACACCTGCTAACTAACAGGACAAGACAATAATATGTCAAAATAGTTGTGCTAATGGGCTAAGTCTTGTGTTTACCCATCACTTAAACTCTCACTTCTCCCTGTGGATTAAATGTGTTTGTGGATGGGTACACACAGCTTTTTAAAAATTTTTAGAAACATTTGAAAGTATCACAAAGTCACTCTTTTTCTTTTTTTATTTATCCATTCATGAGAGACAGAGAGAGAGAGAGAGAGAGAGTGAGGCAGAGACATAGGCAGAGGGAGAAGCAGGCTCCATGCAGAGAGCCTGACGTGGGACTCGATTCCGGGTCTCCAGGATCAGACCCTGGGCGGAAGGCGACGCTAAACTGCTGAGCCACCCCAGCTGCCCGAGTTAGTCACTCTAATTAAAAGTTCTAATAATATTGCACATGTAGTACATGTTTATTCTAGAATAATTTTTTAAATTTCAAGTATACAGAAAGAAAAATATCCCATAATTCCATAATCCGGAGATAACCATGTTTTTCTGGGGGGAAAACATGTAACGGCTTGCATATAGTTTGTATGGAAAATAGTTTTTGAAGAAATGCATGAATGGCCAGGAGCAGGGGCCACAGAACCACCAGCTTGAGTTTAACTCCTGCCTCTACTTTGCAGCAGAGCTACCTATATGGGTGACCTAACCTGTCTGGGCCTCAAATTCTCTCCTATCAAATGGAAATAATAACAGTGCTACTTGTTGGCCGTGTGGATTACATGTCATGATGCAGATGAAGCCTTACAAAAGTGCCTGGCACACATAACAAACACTCATTGTGTGTTAACCATTTAACAACTATGCACACGGTTTGATAATATGCTTACTTCTTCATGTACCAGCATATGATGAACACTTATCCATGTCTGCATCATAATTTTTAATGATGACATAGTATTATAGGTTAGGAATAATATATGTATTTAACCTCCCACAATTAGATAGTGATAGATAGATAAAATTATTTATTTTGTTTCTATTTATTTGCTGCTATTATTAATTATTCCTGCACTTACCTTTGGGCATAGACCCCCAATTATTTCTCTATAAGTCTGTGGAACTAGGTTCACTAAGTGGAAGAGGAAGCACATTTTAAAGCTTTTTAAAATCATTAATACCTTCCAGAATGAATATAACAAATGCTTGAACAGTGCAGGTTTGCCCCTTTCCCCACAGACATGCAAAAGTAGGAAATTATTATCAAACCTGATTTGAGTGAGTCCTACTGCAGGAAAACACCAATTTCCAGTATCATTATTAGCCTGTAATGGTTTTTACAGAAAATTTTGCATACCATGTATGAATTATAATTGTTATCTATCTTGACTGTCTAATTTCTAATTAGATTTCTAATAAGGTTTGGACTTCCTCAAAAAACTTGAATAACAATGAAAGAAATAAGATCTGTCAAAGACTTTGATTTAAATACCAAAATTCTATGATTAGACTTCGGGATTGTTTAGGGAAACAGAAGTCTATTCATAAAGGCAGAACCCTGTTCTGACCAAGATATTTTTTAATGATGAGAATAGTTTAGTTTCTTGCTAATCACTAGTGAACATTAATTATGATATAAGGAATTATCTAAGCTGTCACAAATGTCAAGAAATATCCAAAGAAATTGAGGTTTGAGTTTATTATTACAGAATTGTGAGCCAATTTAGCTGTAAACCTAAATAGGTGTTTTTGTGACCTTAAACACAAATTATAAATTACCCAGTGATTTTTATGTGTATTGTTAAAACAACTGTACAGAGAGTATTCAAAATAATTCTAAGAATAATTACTATTTAAGTATTTTAATTAGGTTATTTGAAAATATCGCTAGGCACTTGCTCTAATATGAAATGTGAAAATTTCTCTATCTTGTCAATCCATCTTCCCTGCCACCTCCTGTCATCAAGATAACTGTAATATGATTTAATCAGATAGTATTAGTGAAGAGAGTAATCAAATTGACATCAGGAAGAGATTTGGTATAAATGCCGCAGGAGCTAGCAAGGGTGGGACCTGTGAATGGTTTGCTGTTTTTGTTTAGGGATTTCTGTGGTCTCAAAATTATAAAGCCTCTTTTTTCTTTCCTAAGTGGGGTAGGTTCTTCTAGTTTCCCACTATTGTACTGACATGCTGAATCACAGGGGATGCCCCAGGCTTGTTATGGGAATACATGATCTTTATAATCTGGGGATCATACAACCAATCATTCAAACTGAGACTCTTTTGAGAGTAAAAGAGGGTGCAATTAGTAAGTATTCTGAGACTACCAGCATAAACTGTCAGTTTTCCTGGCAAACTGGGATAGTCACCCCATCTATAAGCCTTGACTGTCAGGGCTTGGGTATTGGCCAGGGCCCTTGCATCTAGCTCAAAATATATTGGGTTCTGAAGCAGATGAACCATAAGAGGAAAAGGAAGATGCTCCCTTTTGTAGATTAAAAGACTAACAATATTCGAAAGTGTCCCCAAATTAGTCACTTTCACTATGTTTCTGACACAGTTTTTAAATTTTTATTCATAATAATTTGGGGGGATTTTAAAGGCAGTGCTTTTATTTTTTTAATCAAAATAATTGAAATATAACTGTAGACCATAATATACACTGTGCAGATTCTTTCGAAATTATCGTGGCTTTCTTTTCAGCATTGTATATGATCAGTTTTGGTGAACTCTTTCTCCCTTTGGGAGCCATAATCCCCAAATCCAGAGACATTCTTAACATTTTGGTTTAGAAGGTTGCATTTTGCCCTCAATATTAATAAAAATCCCTATTTTAAATACTTAAAAAGCATCCTTTAAACAACTGTGTAAGACTTTTTATCCAATCGGAAAAATATCCATCCCTTAATTTCCATGACATACTTCTCTCTGGTTGGCCTTCTACATTTTGAGTTGACTTTTATTTTTAATTTTTATTTCTTGTATTTCCTTTATGCTAGAATAATTTTTAAAAATTCATGTAACAAAAGAAAAATCAAAGAAAAATTTCCCCTAATTCTACAATTTTGATAATCACGTTTTTCTATATAAGCGTGACAATGTACATGTTTATACATAGCATCTATTTTTTAAATGGGGCTAAATTAAAATGTGAGGAGCTGTGACCTAGGGGTTTGGAGCAGGGGCTGTGGAGGCAGCCTGCTAGAAAGCTTTCTCCCAACCCAGGCTGAAAGAAGCAACATAGCCTGGCTCCAGCCTGCTATCGATCCCTCTGGGTACTCTGGTCCTTTGGATTATGCTTCTCCTCTTGATCAGACAACTCCTACTGGCTCTCATACTGGACAGCCCCCTCCTTGCTTGCTTTAGCATACCTTCTTAAATTTGAGGACTTGCCTCCATTCACCAATAATACTTACCTGTTTTTCTCTTCCTTGCCAGATCCCTAAAGAAAAGCTTCTTCCCATTGTTCAATTATTTAACTGTGAAATACTTCAAAAATATTTGAGTGCAGAAAATTTTATGTGCACACACATATACACATTATACAGATTTAACATCACTTCTTGTTCTACATTTGCTTAGAGCCTATGGTGGCCTCAGCAACCTGGAGTTTGGAGATTTCAAGCTAAGGCTACCATGGCACCAGGCACACATAGCAAGAGAAGGAAGACAGAGGGGCACTTTCTGGAGTGGACTTCCGGACACTTCCTCCTCCCCCATCTAAATGTGTGAGCATGAGCTCACACAGATCAGATGGTCTCAAATTTGCAAATATGCAGTCTTGGGAGGATTGATGATCACTGAGGGGTAGCACTTCTGGATGCTTAGATGAAGACTTCACAGCTAAAAAATTGCTGTTAGTGAGCCTTTAGGAGACTGCTGTGTTTCTCAAGTCGGCAGAAGCTGACTTTGTTACTCTGAAGCATCAGAGTGGGGTTTAGCAGCACTTAAAACCTTTTGTCATTGACTGGAGTCCATTTATGACTGCATCCTTCAGGAATAACAAAACTAGAAAGAAGTGTAACATTGTGGGGAGGGGGTGGTTTGCTTCCACGGGTTGAAAACCCTGTATTTCTCTTCATTTCAGAGCACTTGGGCAGTGAAGCAGTGGAAATGTGGATGGGTCTGAATCAGCTGGATGAACATGCTGGCTGGCAGTGGTCGGATAGAACACCACTCAACTATCTGAACTGGAACCCAGGTACCTACAGCGTTTTATGTGCCTTCAACGGGTGACAATATCCTGCACCCTTACACAGCAGCTATTTCCCACGTGTATAGAAGCCCTGTTATTTCAAAAGTGGTTTATAAACATTTTTAAAGCTTGCCTGAATTCCCATCAGGCAAGCTTTTCCAGACAAGAAGGAGGTCAAGAAGGTAAGCTATTTAGCCAAGGTTGCAGGAGGATTGGGTTAGAGTCAAGACTCCTGTCAGCTGTTTTAAAATAGCGACATTATGCTGAGTGAAGTAAGTCAATCGGAGAAGGACAAACATTATATGTTCTCATTCATTTGGGGAATATAAATAATAGTGAAAGGGAATATAAGGGAAGGGAGAAGAAATGTGTGGGAAATATCAGAAAGGGAGACAGAACATAAAGACTCCTAACTCTGGGAAACGAACTAGGGGTGATGGAAGGGGAGGAGGGTGGGGACTGGGGGTGAATGGGTGACGGGCACTGAGGGGGGCACTTGACGGGATGAGCACTGGGTGTTATTCTGTATGTTGGCAAATTGAACACCAATAAAAAATAAATTTATTATAAAAAAATAAAAATTAAAAATAAAATAGCGACAAATTGCAAAATATTTATTTAAAACAATAAAAATCGGCTATTGCTATCTTTGTGAAATCATTTGTCATGTCTGGACTAAAACCTATATTAAATCATAGATATAATATAACATAGGATATGCCTTACATGCCAAAGAGAAGGGCTATCTCCCTGATGCTAAAATCTATATTTACATATATATCAAATATATCATATTTGAATAAATAAAGTGACATCAATATATATTAAAATAACTGGTTTTGCCTCTAACATTAAACACACACACTGTATTTTCAGAAATAAATTTTGAGCCATTTGTTGAATATCACTGTGGAACATTTAATTCATTTTTGCCAAGCGCCTGGAGGAGTAGAGATTGTGAATCCACCTTGCCTTATATATGTAAAAAATACCTAAACAACACTGATCAAGAAGTGATTGGTAAGTGTTTTTACTCTAAGTTGTTTTCGCTTTTTTTTAAGATTTTTATTATTTATTTATTCATGAGAGACAGAGAGAGAGGCAGAGACACAGGCAGAGGGAGAAGCAGGCTCCATGTAGGGAGCCTGACATGGGACTTGATCCCGGGTCTCCAGGATCACACCCTGGACTAAAGGCAGCACTAAACCGCTGAGCCACCAGGGCTGCCCTCTAAGTTGTTTTCATGAGTTCTTTACTTGTCCTTTCAATGCACTCAAATTCCTTTATATTTTTGCTAATAACTCACAATTTAAGGCTAGTTTTTATATGAATAAATATATGTAATATATGTAAATAGATTCCAAAGGCACCATGAATTTAACAAATGCACTTAGGTTTTTACTAAAGACCAAAATAACATAAGCATTGAAAATATTGTCTGCTTATTTTTTTAAAAAAGTTTGCATTCTCAGTTGATCTGCATTAGATAAACAAGACATGCTTCCTTTCTCTTCTAGTTTTGAGTTTTATTTATGGTTACCCTAGAAATTGAATATAAATTAGAACAGAGTTTTATAAAATTCTTTACTTCATTGATCTCCTATCACACTCTGTATCTTTTATTATCCTTGTCCTCGAAATAACATACAAACTTTTATGTGCGACTAAGACTTAAATACTACCTAATTACAGCCTAATACCTGAAGCCCAATTATTTGTTTTTAAGGTCTATTGGTCTTTTCAGTTTCTGTGGGAATTAATGTCTTAACTCAGAAAGTAGAAATAAAACCATAACCATACCTAAAAGGATCATTACCAGCATAATTAGAAACAACTCCAGATTTTAAGTAATAAACTGAATTATTATTTTTAAAAATTATTCCTTACAATCAGACTTTAACTTTCATTTTTCTTTAAAGTGGCTAAGCCTAAGGGTATGGTAAAGTAAGGGAGCGAAGGGAAAAGAAGCAGAATTGTGCCATTTTTTTATGTGGGGATTTTTTTTCATTATGTCTGTTTTTCAAATTGTTAAAGTAATCCTATGTTGGTGAAAATTTACATTAAGGCTAATAAATAACATTTTACAAATTGTGGAAAATGACATTGTTTTTTGTTGGTTTAAAAAGAAAAAGATGCTTGGAAATATTACACTACCCACTGTGAACCTGGCTGGAATCCCCACAGTCATAACTGCTATAAACTTCAGAAAGAAAAAAGGACCTGGAATGAAGCTTTGCATTCTTGCCAGTCTGATAACAGCACATTGATAAACATTGCTTCATTAGCAGATGTGGAGTTTTTTGTAACCTTCCTTAGAGATGGTGAGTGCCAAATTTCTCTGATTTAAGAGGTATGAAATATAATGGAGTTACTATTTTTATTAATGGAGTTGAAAAGAAGTTAAGCTACTTAAAAGGGATTATTTATGGCACATATATTTCCAGTTTCTAAATAATATTCAGGAGTGCAAATTCATTAGATTTCTATAAAATATATGCTCAGAAATTTTGTAACACCTCACATATGCCAGATATATTAGAGGGGTTTTTTTTAAGGGACAAAGGTCATTTCTGGAACTTTTATTTATTTTTTTTAAATAAATTAATTTTTATTGGTGTTCAATTTACCAACATACAGAATAACACCCAGTGCTCATCCCGTCAAGTGTACCCCTCAGTGCCCATCACCCATTCACCCCCACCCCCCACCCTCCTCCCCCTCCACCACCCCTAGTTCATTTCCCAGAGTTAGAAGTCTTTATGTTCTGTCTCCCTTTCTGATATTTCTCACACATTTCTTCTCCCTTCCCTTATATTCCCTTTCACTATTATTCATATTCCCCAAATGAATGAGAACATACACTGTTTGTCCTTCTCCGGTTACTGTGGCCAAGTTCAAAAAGGGTGTTGCCTGAGTTCTCCTCTGGGATTTTGATGGAATCTTGTCTCACATTTAGATCTTTCATCTATTTTGAGTTTATCTTTGTGTATGGTGCAAGAGTGGTCCAGTTTCATTCTTCTGCATGTGGATGTCCAATTTTCCCAGCACCATTTATTGAAGAGACTGTCTTTCTTCCAGTGGATCGTCTTTCCTCCTTTATCGTATATTAGTTGAGCATAAAGTTCAGGGTCCACTTCTGGGTTCTCTGTTCTGTTCCATTGATCTATGTGTCTGTTTTTGTGCCAGTACCACACTGTCTTGATGAACACAGCTTTGTAGTACAACCTGAAATCTGGCATTGTGATGCCCCCAGATATGGTTTTCTTTTTTTAAAATTCCCCTGGCTGTTTGGGGTCTTTTCTGATTCCACACAAATCTTAAAATAATTTGTTCTAAGTCTCTGAAGAAAGTCCATGGTATTTTGATAGGGATTGCATTATACGTGTAAATTGCCCTGGGTAACATTGACATTTTCACAATATTAATTCTGCCAATCCATGAGCATGGAATATTTTTCCATCTCTTTGTGTCTTCCTCAATTTCTTTCAGAAGTGTTCTGTAGTTTTTAGGGTATATTTTGAGAACCATTTGAATGGTAAATGGTTCTCCAACCTTTTATTTTCAGGTTGTAGGTGTCCTTCTGTCTAAAATGAGTCTCTTGTAGACAGCAAATAGATGGGTCCTGTTTTTTTATCCAGTCTGAAACTCTGCGCCTTTTGATGGGGTCATTAAGTCCATTCACGTTCAGAGTTACTTGAACTTCTTCTTAAAGGGGAGTTTTAAGAGTCCCCCTTAAAATTTCTTGCAGAGCTGGTTTGGAGGTCACATATTCTTTCAGTTCCTGCCTGTCTTGGAAGCTCTTTATCTCTCCTTCCATTTTGAATGAGAGCCTTGCTGGATAAAGTATTCTTGGTTGCATGTTCTTCTCATTTAGGACCCTGAATATATCCTGCCAGCCCTTTCTGGCCTGCCAGGTCTCTGTGGAGAGGTCTGCTGTTACCCTAATATTCCTCCCCATGAAAGTCAGGGACTTCTTGTCTCTTGCTGCTTTAAGGATCTTCTCTTTATCTTTGGAATTTGCAAGCTTCACTATTAGATGTCGAGGTGTTGAACGGTTTTTATTGATTTTAGGGGGGGATCTCTCTATTTCCTGGATCTGAATGCCTGTTTCCCTTCCCAGATTGGGAAAGTTTTCAGCTAGGATTTGTTCAAATACATATTCTGGCCCTCTGTCCCTTTCGGCGCCCTCGGGAACCCCAATTAAACGTAGGTTTTTCTTCCTCAGACTGTCATTTATTTGCCTTAATCTGTCTTCATGGTCCCTTAATTGATTGTCTCTTTTTTCCTCAGTTTCCCTCTTTGCCATTAACTTGTCTTCTATGTCACTCACTCGTTCTTCCACCTCGTTAACCCTCGTCGTTAGGACTTCTAGTTTGGATTGCATCTCATTCAATTGATTTTTAATTTCTGCCTGATTGGATCTAAATTCTGCAGTCATGAAGTCTCGTGAGTCCTTAATGCTTTTTTCTAGAGCCACCAGTAGCTGTAGAATAGTGCTTCTGAATTGGCTTTCTGACATTGAAGTGTAATCCAGATTTTGTAACTCTGTGGGAGAGAGGGCTGTTTCTGATTCTTTCTTTTGAGGTGAGGTGATTTCTGGAACTTTTAATAAAAGAACTTAAACCTGCAATTTAGCTTTATGGCCACTACATAGCAGTAGTGTGCTGTGGTCATGTAATCCAAACAATAATGGAATTTCTGAGATAAGTAACTGGATTTTAATAACTTCAGCCAGTGAAAATTTATTTGGTTTGGTATTTTCAAGCTGTGTGCACATTCAGGAGTTCTGAGCTCCTAGGCCTCCACCCATCTTCTGTCCATCAGAGCAGGTCTTCCCCTATGTTATATATTTGACATAGAATTCTGCTGGGAAAACTTGAAATCACGGAGCTAAAGTAAATTTTTTTTTTAATGAAAAAAAATCTCTAGAGTCTACTCTGGTGACCTTTTGAAAGTTAGGTTTTTAGTTTAGAATGAAAACAAAAATCCTTCTCTGTCACTTTTTCTTACCTCCTGCATTTGAGATTAAAAGAATCCCGTGGCTGCCTCTGTCTGAATAGGAGCACTTGAACATTTCTCTCAGCCTCCTAGGGTCTTTTCACCTTACCTGGGCTGTCAAACTTTATTTACTTTTCTAGCAACCCCATTGCTCCCATTTTAATGCTTCTAAGAGTTTCTGCTCCTTTTTTCCCCATGGCAAAAAAAAAGGGGGGGGGCAAGAAAAAATATATTGTAAAGGTGTTTTTTTTTTTTAAGTGCCCTTTTCCTAATCTGGTCGACCTTCCTATTTTTCCTTTCTCTAGGCAGAAGCAAAACCATACTGTTCAAATCTACTTTTCATATAGTAGCAGGAACTAATTAGAGTCCCAGCAATCTGACTTGCTTTTAAGCTTTGTCCTTGCATTGGTTTTAGCTCACACACTGTCCCACTTCCAAGGTCTTGTCAAGCAGATGGGGTGGTATAGGAGGAAAAGATCTAAGTACATATTTTATATCAAAGCTTAACCAGGTTTTATTGCATGAAGGAATAAAGAAGAAATCATTTGTAACAGGCCCGGTGCATTATCTCCTTTGCATATAATAGGATTCCTATAATTTACATTTATCTCTTACAGAAAATGCATCAGAAACATGGATTGGTTTGAGCAGCAATAAAATTCCAGTTTCCTTTGAATGGTCTAATGGCTCCTCAGTCACCTTTACTAATTGGCACACACTTGAGCCCCAAATTTTTCCAAATAGAAGCCAGCAATGTGTCTCAGCAGAGCAATCTGTAAGTTGATTTGTTTGTTTAATGCTCACTTTGCTGGACTTGTATTGAGGATCATGTGCATCAGGGACTTGGCCTGTGGCAGAGACTAAGATAGACACAGTCCCTGTTCCTCCAGGGGCTTCCATGCTAGGCAGTAAACATGTACACACAAGAGAAACATGGCAATTATAGTTGTGATGGTAGCTTTGAAGAAATACATGATGCAAAGTTGAAAAACTTGGGTTGGGTCTGCTAACTTCAGACAGGGCAGTCAGGAAAGGCTCTCTGAAGAGGTGACATTTAAGATGGGACTTAAAAACAACAACAACAACAACAAAGACAACTCTTGAGGAGCAAGGAAAGAACATTCCACAGACGGGGACAGCAGCTAGTGTAAAACCCAAAGGATGGCTAAGGCTTGCCATGTTTAATAATCAAAAAGGGGGCCGGTGTGGCTTGAAGGTAGAACGGAAGAGAGACTCAATCAAGAAGGAGCAGAAGGAATGCAAAAATGTGAGGCTTGTAGCCCTGGCATAGGCTTCAGAGAGACAAAGGGCTTGGTTGGATTTACATTTTAAAAAGGAACTGTAGTTGCTACGTGGAAAGTAGATCAGAGAGAGGAAAAATGGAAGCAGAGAAATCAGTTTGGAGGTTACTCCAGGGTTGAATTTGGGTAGCGAATGTAGAGACAAGCAGAGAAATTCAGAGATCCTTTGGAGGATAGAAATTGTTGCTAGATGATCAGATGTGGGGTGAGAGCAGCGTAGGTGTTTGGCTTGAGCAACCACCATATTTGTGGATGATGGTGCCATTGACCACCAGGTGAAGTTGGGAGGGGAAGATCTAAGATGTCAGGAAATTACTCTAGAAACTTATGGTTTTAAAGTTTCACTGTCCTGTTAACACAAAAGGATTTCTACAATGTGTGTAACCCCATTGAAAAGTGTGACTTAATGGAAAATTTTGTTCTTTTCCTCATGTGAAGGTAATGGTCCCAGTGGTCTTAACATCACATTTATCTCTATGCTCTAGTCTTTCATTTATCTAAAACATCTGATTAGACTATACAAAATTAGTTTAATCCCAAACCATTTGAACATTTATTATATGTTGAGAATAGACTTAATCTCTTTGATCAGATAGCTACTAAGCTAACTGGTTGAGTTATAAGTCATTAGGATTTGGTAGACATTCTCGCTCTTTCTTACCATCAAGATACCATAAGTATGTAACAAGTACAGCTTATTAAATGTTACTTAAGTAGCTTGACAAAGTAACTATGCCAATGAAACTTGGGAATTATCTAAGCACTTACTTGCAGGGCACATTTCATTGTTTTATCTTTCAGGCTGTCGTAGGTATGCTCAGTTACAATTTAAATGCTGAGGCAGTTCCCAAGTCATTTGAAGGACAAACAATGACCTCTCTAAATGTTTGTCTTTGGGTCTAACTCCACTGAAAGCCATCATTGTTTATTCTGCAATATTTGATGCTTTATTAGTTCACTGGTTTTGAGATAATTAAGATAACCTTAATTTCCTACCATCATTCTCCTTTTTCATTTGACAGACATCGGTATTTCACAGAACAGGAGCCAACATTTGGACAGAAAATTATATTTAAGAGAGTAAGGACAGGTATTAATATTATAGGATGTATCAGGACAATGCTGTTGTAAGTGTGGTTCTTGTGTACCCCTTTCTGGAAACTCAGCAGCTCCTTAAACAGTGAAGGCGTAAAAAAGAATATTTACTCCCATGAAGTAGATCTCAATATGAATATAATTATTATAATTAACAAGTTACCTAAGCATGGGTGATGCCTAATTTGAAGGTGAGATTCTAGGAACTGTTTCATTCATGCATTCATTCATCCATCCATCCAATTGTTCTTAAGCAGCTACAGTATGACTGACCTTATCCTTTAGCTGGATGGTTTGCTGGAAGATTCCATGGTGGGAGGGCTACAGAGCTACTCTTACAGATGAAGGTGTCAGCCTCCTATACAGTATTCATGTTCCCTAAAAACACTGCTTGCCTGAGATACCATTTAAAATTTGAATTGTGTGGTTTTAGCCTAAAGGTCTGATTTGTGTTAAAATAACAAATCCTTTGGGAGGATAAAAATTTAATCTGTTGGCATTTATTGTATATCATTATTAATGTAGGATGTTAGAGCAGCCGTCTGCAGAACTAGATGATATGAAAGTATCTGCCTGTCATATAAAGAAGAAATGGAGTGAGGCTTTGGAAAATTAGTAATAAAGAAGGAGTTTGAACACAAAGATCAGCTATTATAATGTTATCTAGGGTGATTCATGGTAGCTTCCAGGCATTTCCCTAGCATCAGGTTTATACATGTAAGTAGCAAAGCATTCAATTTTATACTTAGAAGTGGTTAAAGAGAGGAAGCAGCATTCTTCCTAGGTCACAGGGATGATTTCATCCAAGTGGCTCTCAAAATGTGGCCCCCAGATCAGAAGCATCAACATCAGTTGGAAGCTTATTAGAAATGCAAATTCTCAGGTCCTACCTGACCTATTAAATGAGACACACTGATCATGAGGCCCGGTCATCTGTGCTTTAGTAACCCTTCCAGATAATTCCGGTACACAGTAAAGTTTGATGAATCACCGCTCTAACCCATCCTTTTAAAAGAAAAATTGAGAGCAGCTTAATATAAATCCAGGCGAAGCCTGGTATTAAATCCTGGTTCCAAATTATACTGACTATAGGACCTTGTACAAGTATTAAACCTAACCTTTAAAATGGGAATAATAAAAAAATAAATAAATAAAAATAAAAAATAAAATGGGAACCATAATGCCTACTTCACAGCAACGTTGAGATTATATATGACAATTACCCAACACGAAGCCTGGCACATTATCAAGAAACATGAGTGGCCCCTCCCTCCTGCCCACCAACATGGGATTGTGTGTCTTAGAATTGTTTGCACACTGGAAAGAGCAAGGCCTCCCACTCCCATGTAGAAAGAGCATCAACCCTTCTAAGGACAACACAAAGTCCTGACTCATTACGCCATCCTGAAACACTTATTATTAATTATATTTTTATTCAAAATAACTGATGTTGCCTATCAGCATCAATAATGAAGTTTATTCATTCATCTTGTAACATTTTTCCACTTAGGAGGGACACTGGAAAGTTAAAAACTGTGAAGAAACACTTTTTTACATTTGTAAGAAAGCAGGCCATGTCCTCTCTGACTCTGAATCAGGCTGTCAAGAGGTAAGTGTTACTAACATTGTGTTTAGGTATAGTGACTTCATAACTAGAATAATTTATGAAACAGCAATTTAAAGTGAACCTCTCTTCCTCTCACACCTGCCTTTGCTCCCTCCTCCCCCTCCTACCCCTCCTTCTTTATCTCTCTTCCTTCTTTCCTTCCTTCCTTCCTTTTTTTTTTCTGACCTTGGGCTGCTTTTAGCAAACCAAGCAATTATTAACTAGGGGCATATTAAGGATTTACAGCACTGTGAAGGGTTGTGACTACTTTTCTTTTGAAATTAAAAACATAACTGATCCATCTGTATAAACAATGACTGCCATGCGATGCCCCCCTCTCATAGTCTTCCAGTGAAGACTGCTAGAGTGAAAAGAAATGCATTCCTTTGATGGAGAGTGAACTTTTGCACTCAGAGTCTTGCCTTCCTTTTCACTCTTCTTAAACTTAAATATTTGAATAGAATACAATAATGGCAAGAAGCGCATGGTTGCAATATATTTATTATTTGGGAAAGAGATAATAAAAATACTTCCATATTTTAAGTAAAAAAGTATTTTTGGTACTTGACATACTTATTTTTAGTACTTAAAGTAATAAAAAATGTGTAGTATCTCAGGTTTAAAAATAAAAGATAGACAGTTATGTTCTAAATTTCTTAAAATACATCCAATATCCTGCAGTAAATTTCTCAACACATGCACTCTCTCTCTCTCTTTCTCACATGCACACACACTAAAGAATTTGGGTTTAAATATTGGAGATTCGTATGCATCTCCAAATTTTCCCAAACCTGGCTTTTTATGCAATTCTTTAATTATTTTCTCTTCTAATCCAGTTATTTATGTTTCAATGAAGTGATGACCCATCTCTCCAAGAAACTGCATTTTATTCATTAGTCAATGTGTAAATATATGAATTACTCTTCATACTCTAGGTTAATAACACCTGTGCCGTAGCTGACACGCTACCAAACATTATATCTAATGAGCACAATTTCCAAATTACTTACAGTTGATTGCTGATCTAATCACTATCTGATCAGAAATATTGAAAAAAATATTGGTCTTACTGTGGTTTTCAAGGCAACTAAACATGTTGTATTTGCGTTGAAAAGGAAATTAACTCCTTACACAGTAGAAACAGAACGATGTTCTATTCGAACTTTTGTACACTGCTTCCCTTTTCTGGCTAGCATTACCAATATTTAAAGTTCAGAGTAAATTTGGAGGTCAGAGCCAGTTCTCTAATTTTATGATGAAATTCCCATTTATATTTTTATGTATCAATCTGTGAAAATGGTTTCAAAAGCTTCCTTCCTTTTAGCTAACTGCTTCAGTGCACTTCTCTAAACAGTTTGTACACTCAAAATCAACTTATAAAATATTTCTCACAACACACATAAAAATAAACTCAAACTAGATTAAAGACCTAAATGTGAGACCCCAAACCATAAACATCCTAGAAGAGAAGAAAGGCAGTAATTTCACTCACATTGGCAGTAGAAACATTTTTCTAGATATGTCTCCTAAGGCAAGGGAAACAAAACGTGAAATTATTATGACTACATCAAAATAAAAAACCTTTTGCACAGTGAAAGAAACCACCAATAAGATGGAAAGGCAACCTACTGAATGGGAGGAGATATTTTGCAAATGGTATATCCAATAAGGTGTTAACATCCAAGATATATAAAGAACTTGTACAACTCAACACCTAAAAAATCCCCAAATAATCCAATTAAAAATGGGCAGAGGACTTCAATAGACATTTTCCCAAAGAAGACATACAGGTGCCCAACAAACACATGGAAAGATCCCAACATTGCTCATCATCAGGGAAATGCAAATCAAATCCACAATGAGATATCACCTTATACCTGTCAGAATCTCTAAAGTCAACAACACAAGAAATAACAAGTGTTGGTAAAGATGTGGAAAAAAAGGAATCCTTAGGCATTCGTGCACTGTTGGTGGGGATGTAAATTGGTACAGCCAACTGTGGAAGATAGTATGGAGGTTCCTCAAAAATTAAAAATAGAAATACCATATTATCCAATAATTCTACTACTGGATATTTACCCAAAGAAAGCAAAAATACTAATGGGAAAGGATATATGCAACTCTATCTTTATTGCAGCATCATTAACAATAGCCACGATATGGAAGCAACCTAAGTGTCTATCAATAGAGGAATGGATAAGGAAGATGTGGTGTACACACACATCCTCAACACACACAGAGAGGAACATTACACAACCATAATAAAGGAGGAGATTGTGCTATTTGCAATAACATGAATGGACCTACAGAGTATAATGCTAAGTGAAGTAAGTCTGAGAAATACAAATACCATATGATTTGACTTATATGTAGAATCTCAAAAAACAGATGAATAAACAAACAAAAAGCAGAATCAGACCTAGAACAAACTGATAGTTGCCTGTGGTGGTGGGGCCAGTGTTGGGCAAAATGAATGAACATTAATGGGAGATACACCCTTCCAGCTATGGAATGAATAAGTCACAGGAATGAAAGGCACTACATAAGAGGGGAAATTTGCTTGATAATTTCAAAGCAAAAAAAAAAAAAGACTTTTTTCCCTCTGAGTTATTTTTGGGGGTTTGTATAATGTGAGCAATTGTTTCAATACTGTCATCATCACTGTGTAAAGTGAAATGGCGCCTCATGTACAAAAGATACTCACAAATACAATCAATTATTCTTCCCACTTCCACTGTGTGGACAAAGGCTTGTAGTAAAGAGCCTTTGTTTTTCTGGTTATTACTAAGCCACATCCCTCCCCCAGCCACTTTTCTTGAGCCTGTTCAGTTCTCAGATTTTTTTTTATTATACTAAGCAGCCTGTGATCTGAAAACTACTAATGAAGAAGGAATACTTTGTTAGGAAGGTCAAATTGTCAGCCTTCCTCTGCCTGTCCTTCCAAATACAAAAGCGGTCTAACCTCCCACCCCATCTGGAGTGATCCAGGGGGTTCTGGCTGGAGCTGTCAATTACTCACATAGGTAAGGTTATGGGGAGAGGTTAAGGGAGTGAGTTCAGAGCACACTCTGGCTGGCTGGATTTGGAACTCCTGTGATCCACACCTCATTTAATAATATGTTTTGAACTAAAATAGCTGAGTTCTAAAATAAGGTTTTCTTTAATTTACTGCAAGACTGCGACCTTTTATAAGAAACATAGCAGAAATCATTTTATATCTGATCAAACTCTGGCAAGTATTGGCATGATACAGAATAAAGTGTATTTTAAAAGTTGCGAATACAAAAAAAAAACCCTGGTGAATACATAAAAATAGATAGATGTAAGTGGTGTGGATTTGTAGTACTAGAAGAAAAGGAACTAAAATAACTCAGTTAAAGTATAGAAGACTAATGAATGCGTGTCTCCTATAATATATGATTTTAAAGAACAGAGCCACCCTTTGTTGCTCCCAGGGCGGAGCCATGGAGCTGCACATTGATTTGTCATTTTTAAGTGCCAAAGCTTGCTTTCTCTCTCTCTCAAAGAATAGCCAGTTGACTTAGGAATAATCTTTTACAAAAAAAAATTTATAAATATATATAGTTTATAAATAAAATTATATTAGCCCATAATTGAGTCCCAGGCCAGCTTGTTCACTAGCTTATGACTTTATCCAGGGCTCTAACCTCAGTGAATCTTAGTGGGATAACATGAAATAAGTAATACAAAAGAAAGTTGAAAAAAATATGCACTATCATTTAGGTACATATGTACCTATAGATGTTTAAGGTCGCCGCCTACACTGTCTCCCTTTGATTCTCCAAACAATTCCATAGATGTTATTACTATCTTCATTTACAGAGGAGAAAATTAAGACATTTAGAGGCTAAATAAAGTTGCACAGGAGTAGAGCCAGTACTCAAACCCGTGCATTCTTCCTTCAAAGCCAACACTCTTACATTCAACCATCCTGTAAGAACCGTTTGTATGAAGCAGAGAGAGAGAGAAAAAGAGAGATCTTGAGTGAGTGCCCCTTTGTTTTCATCTGTTTTAGGCTTTAAGATTTCAGGTGAAGTGAAACTTTTAGGTTTTAATGATTAATAAAATAAATATCGAAGTGGCTGTAGCTAATGGCATTACCAGGTAAAACACAAAGATTTCAAGACAAAAATCCAAGTTTTGAGTTTTGAGTGGGTCAGAGAAAAAGGGTTATGCAAGTAGTAAATGAGAATACACAAAAACAATATTGTGCTGTTTGAATCAGATTATGTTCTTGATTTTTTATTTCCTTTTTTTTTTAAGGGATGGGAGAGACATGGTGGATTCTGTTACAAAATTGACACTGTCCTTAGAACTTTTGACCATGCCTCCAGTGGTTATCACTGTCCTCCTGCACTTGTGACCATTACAAACAGGTAAGGTAGAAATTTTCTATCAGAAACATGACTGTACTTTTTTGACAGGAGGGCTCCTGGGATGATAAAATCTAGTGGTAATCAGTAACTTGTCAAAATCTAAAGTGTACTGTACATTAGAGTATTAAATTATTTAAATTATTGATTGAGATGAATTTAAATCATACGTTATTCCAAAATCAATTTTTGAGTAACAAAGAGAAAATTTAAGATGACTTTTATTTTCCATAAAGATTTATTAATTATTTAGCTTTGCTAATATATTCAGTTGTATTTAGATTTTATCTAAAGTCTTGTAATGGAAACGAAGTATGTTATTTAAAAATCAAGTATGTTTTTAATGTAATGTGTGCGAGTGATGTGGGTTTTCTTTTTTAAAAAACAAAGTATAGCTAAACTGTGGAGGATTTTCAAATGCTTCCCCATTGCTTCTTAGCTCTAAGTTGGCTTCGATGTAGACTTCTCTCTGCACAGGCGTCTTCTCCACACTAACAGAGAAACTGTGTCCCTTTGACACTCCACAGAATTTGCCACATGCTATAGAATTGTAATAGGGAATAAAAGTACCAATAGTGGAAGTGACCTCAGTGTCATTATCAATACCAGGAGAACAATGAGGGCTGGGAAACCGAGTCAGCCAAGCTGAAGACGAAAACAAGGAGGAACCTTCAGTGGTTGAATGGGAACCTATACCTGCAAAGCTAGTCACTTGCTTTCTTACTGAGGCTGTTGCCTTTAAAAATATCCACCGAAGACCAAGAAACAAGACAATTGACACTACGGTTTTATCTAGAGACGCTCCACACATAGGTCTAACCTATAGGAGGGATTGTGATTTATCTGCTCTCCCCACAGAGGAAGTCAACATTCAGTGCCGCCAGGATTTCTTTCCTGCTCTTACCTCTTACCTTCTTTCCCAGTCTTTCCTCCAAGTCATGCACAGAACGTGCACACGCACATGCACACGTGACTGTATTGATAGCACTTGGCAAAATAAATTGCCTAGTGAGACATTTTGTGCTCAGGAGACCCTTCCTTCAGGAATAGCACCACCCTTGATGTGTCACAGTGTTGTTTTGGGCTCTATCTTCCTTCTTCCCAGAAGAGCTGCTAGGCAGAAGGAAGCCTGTATCTTCAACTTGCTCACCCATCCAAAAGGTTTCAAGAACACCTTGGGTTAGAAGTCCTCCAGTAAGTGAGCCAACATTGGGCTTTATTCAGGAGCCTGATCAATGGAGCTATGCTCTTTTGTTAATTATAACGTAATTATGTTTTTCACTAAAGAAAATGAGTCTAATTCGTTTCACCTGTCTCTTATGTCTTATTCTTTCTTTTCTTTTTTTTGTGTGTAATATTCCTTGAGTACCTGTCACATACCTGGCACTGTGTTAATTACCTTTCATATGCTATCTGACAAGGCAAAAAACCAATGGTCAAGCATTTGTTAGAAAATTATTTATTAAATATCTATATTGTGAGAGGCACTGTGTTCAACACTGGCATGCTGTACAAAATAAATAAAAGGCATGGTGTAATTGTCCAGGTGCCACTTGCAGGCCAACAGCTTAGGAGATAGAAATATGAAACAAGTGAAGAAGGTGGAAGAACATAATAAATGGATAAATTCAAAGTGACATTACAGATAACCTATAATGCCAGTGTGACCAAAGTAGGGGAGAAATCTGTTAGCGTTCAAATACTTCATTTTCTCAGAATCCTGGAGACCTCCTACAAATAACAGGAAGTGTCTGTTATCTACCTGGTTTCATTTCCTCCAAAACTGGATACAAGAGTATGTTATAAATGATTTATTTTTTATAAACTGTATTCAGTAGCCAATACTAATGTATGGTCTAGCTCTAAAGCAGAACTATAGCATAGCTAAATTTGTTTGCATTCCATCCACAACCCCGTAGGCCCACCCAGGCCCACAAGGCCCACCTTGTGCTAGTATGCTACTCAATTAACAGGCAAGCCCCTGCAGTTCTAACCATTAGTCCCAGAGAGGCATCTCTCCCAGACAGTTACCACGTGTGTACACTGCCCTGCAAACATGTCTACGTCCAAAGCAGTGACTCCAACAGAGACATGCAAGTTGAGGAAAGGAACGGCCCCACATTCTTAATTTTTATTCATTCAGACTCCATCAGGTAAGAAACAAAGACCCACACTACACCTCATTCTTTGAGTGACATCACACAACAAAATTTTTCAACAGTGTCTTTTGTCAAGAAGGTGGGACAGTAGAGGGAAAGTCTCCTCAGATCCAGGAGTGTCCACTAGCAGTCTTGGTAATCATTTTCTTCCATTACCAATTTCCTGTTTGACTTAAGACACTCCTGTCACTCATCAGTGCCCAAGCTTGTAGTTGCTAATTGATTTTCCACTCTTCTGCACAATTGAGGACAGATATGATGGGCACAATTAGAACCACCTGCTACAAATTTCTAATTTCTTTCGTTATCAACCTACTGCTCCTGGTCTAGGACATTTAACACTTTGTGGAATAGAGAGGAAGAAAAACAGACCCTTATTGCGAATATCAGAAGGTTATTTTCTTGCTAACTGTTAACAAATTTTTTTCATACCTGGGCACTTTACTTCCATATAGGGCATGACTGCAAAACTTGAGTTCCAGAGTTACCATGGATAATTGTATAAATGCATGTATATCATGAATCAGTCAATATGGAATATTTGGTATAAAATAATCCAAATAACATTTAATTTTTTGCATTTTGCCAAAAGTAAAAAATCTTAGAATATTATATTTTCTCCTAGGTTTAAATGTGCATTATTTTCAAGCATTTTTACTGCTCTGCTATTTTCCTGCAACCAACGTACCCCCTAAACACTTTTTTCCCCTGAACACTTTTGAAGTTAATTATTTATTGTGATAAAATGTGTAGAATATACGATGTATCATTATAACCATTATTAAATGTACAGTTCAGTGGCATTAAGTACAGTTGTATTATTGCACAATCATTACCACCACCCATTTCCATAACTTTTGCATCTTCCCAAACTAAAATTCTGTACCCATTAAATAATAATTCCCCATTTCCCTCTGCCCCAGCTTTGGGCAACCATCATTCTACTTTCTATCTCTATGAGGTTTAACTGCTCTAAGTTAACACATCAGAGGAATCATGCAGTAGTTGTCCTATTGTATCTGGTTTATTTCACCTAGTTTAATGTCCTTCAGGTTAATCTATGTTGTAACATGTGTCAGAATTTCCTTCTTTTTTTTTTAAGATTGTATTTATTTATTCATGAGAGATACAGAGAGAGAGAGAGAGAGAGAGAGAGGCAGAGACACAGGCAGAGGGAGAAGCAGGCTCCATGCAGGGAGCCTGATGTAGGATTCGATCCTGGGTCTCCAGAATCACGCCCTGGGCTGAAGGCGGTGCTAAACCGCTGAGCCACCGGGCTGCCCAGAATTTCCTTCCTTTTTAAGGCTGAATAATATTCCTTAATATGTATATACCACATTTTGTTTATCCATTCATACAATTGACATGAGATGCTTCCACCTTTTAGCTATTGTGAAAAATGTTCCTGTGAAAATGAACTTACAAATATCTTTCAAGTCCCTGGTTTCAATTCTTTTGGGTAGTATGCCCAGAAGTGGAATTTCTGGATGATAATTCTATTTTTAATTTTTTGAGAAACAGCCATACTGTTTTCCATATCAGCAGCACCATTTTACATTCCCACCAGCAGTGCACAGGAGTTCCAATTTCTCCAATTTCTCGTAGCCAACACTTGTTATATTGTTTTTATAAAATAGCCATCCTATAGTTATGAAATAGTGGTTATAACTTGCACTACCCTAATGATTAGTGACATTGAGTGTCTTGTCTTGTGCTAATTGGCATCTGTATATCTTCTTTGTAGAAATGTCTATTCAAATCCTTTACTCATTTTTTATTTTTTTAAAAAAGATTTTATTTATTTATTCATGAAAGACAGAAAGAGAGGTAGAGATATAGGCAGAGGGAGAAACAGGCTCCTCACAGGGAGTCCGATGTGGGACTCAATTCTGGAATCCCGGGATCACACCCTGAGCCAAAGATAGCCGCTCAACCGCTGAGCCACCCAGGCGTCCCGTTTACCCATTTTTTTAATTGGACTGTTTATTCTTTGTTGAGTTGTAGTAGTGCTTTATATATTCTGGATATTAATCCCTTATCAGAGACATAATTTGCAAATACATTGTTCTATTCTGTGAGTTGCTTTTTCACTCTGTTGATGTCCTTTGATGCACAAACTTTTAAATTTTGATTAAGTCTGTTTTATCCATTCTTATTTTGTTGCCTGTGCTTTTGGTGTCATATCTAAGAAATCATTGCCACATTAAACGTCATGAAAATTTCCCCTTTTTTTAAATGAGTGTTATAATTTTAGCTCTTGTGTTTAGGTTTTTGATCCATTTTCAGTTAATTTTTGTAAATGGTATAAAGTGAGAAGAGTCCAGCTGTATTTATCTACAGGTAGATATCCAGTTTTCCCAACATCATTGTTGAAAAGACTGTCCTTTTCCTGTTGAATGGTCTTGGCACCCTTGTGGAAAATCATTTGACTCTATTTGCAAATGTTTACTTCCAGGTTCTCTGTTCTATTCTATTAATCTATGTCTGTCTTTATGCTGGTTCCACACGTTTTTTTATTATTGTACTTTCAGTAAGTTTTGAATTCAGGAAGTGTGAGACCAACTTTGTTCTTTTTCCTTTAGTTTTGTTTTGGTTTGGGTTTTTTTTTCTCCTATTCAGGATCCTTTGAAATTCCATATGAATTTTAAGATGGATTTTTCTATTTCTGCAAAAGACATCATTGGGATTTTAACATGGACTGCATTCAATCTGTAGATCACTTTGGGTGGTATGGATATTTAAACAATTGGTTTTTCAATCTATGAACATGGGATTTCTCTCCATTTATTTGGGTCTTCTTTAATTTCTTTCATCAGCGTGTTATAGTTTTCAATGCACAAGTCTTTTGCCTCCTCAGTTAAGCTTATTCCCAAGTATTTTTAAATTTTTTGATGCTATTATATACAAAATTGTTTTTGTAGTTTCCTTTTCAGATTCTTCATTGTTAGAATATAGAAATGCAACTGATTTTTGTGTGCTGACTTTGTGTCTTGAACTTTGCTGTATTTATTAGTTCTATAGAATAATAGAATGCAGTTAACTTTATTTTTATTTATTTTATATATTTTTAAAAGAATTATTGATCTGAGAGAGATAGATAGAGAGAGCATCCACAAGTTGGGGGAAGGACAAAGGTAAAGAATCTTCAAGCAGACTCCCCACCGGGTGAGGAGCCTGACAACATGAGGCTCAATTCCGCAACCCATGAGATCATGACCTGAGCCGAAACCAGGAGTCAGGCATTGAACCAACTGAGCCACCCAGGCACCCCTAAGATTCTTTTTAAAAACATATTTTAGTTATCCTCTTTAAAATTATGCAATACAAACATTCTCATTGGTATAAATTTAAACAAGCCAGAAGAATATAAACTAAAAAATGAAAGTGCCCTCTCACTGCCATTCCTCCTCCCTCCCAGCCAATCCCACTTCTCTCCCATTAACAGTTAACAAAGGTAACTGACATTAACAGTTTGGAATTTGTTCTTGTGTGTATGTTAAGTATCTTTTTAAAGTCTCTATTTCTAAAAAATAAAAAAAAAGTCTCTATTTCTCCTCTAGTCTTTTGCAATAAACAACAGCCAAAAACTTAGTATTTCAGGTCCTTGAAGAATGCCACCAAAAACTTCTTGTAGTAATAATCATGTGCATGTCTCCCATTTTAAAGCTACTAATATTCTATTTCTATTCTTTATTTAAAAGAAAGAGAAAGAAATTTATGAATTTTCAGTTAATTTTTGTAAATGGTATTAAAATAAGAAGAATCCAACTATTCATTCAGCAATAGTCAGTTATTTGAATATGGTATTAAAAATGTTAACAATTATGTTATTAAAAGAAATCCCATTGTAATTATTCAGTTCAAAATTGAATACCTCCTAAGTGGATCACTATATGTAAAACTATCACTATATATATATATTTTTTTTTTTAAGTGAAATAAGCTCTCTAGTGAAGCTACATCCAGTTCATTACTTTTTTTCTTATTTCTCATTTTAGGTAATACAAACACTGCTAAGTGTTGTGTTACTCACAGACAAGAAACATATTTTTTTTCAGCTACATTTTGTCACTGGCTAAATGGATAAAGAAATATGTTCAGTTAGAGATTCAAATACACAATATCTCCTTTTGAAGTGTGAATTTTTTAAATGTAAAATTTATTTTGAAATGAAAAAATTGGTCAATGTATCCCAAAAATATGTATTGCTGCTTTCAAATTGCACTTTTAAAATTAAAATGTAATGTTTAGCACCATAAGTAACAATTTCTCATCAAACTGATGGAAATTCAAGATATATTTTTCTTATTTACATTGAAAATGCACATTTGACTTCTTAACTTTTTTAAGGAGTTGATTGGAAAACATTATTTTTCTGATTTTAAGAATGATTTCCCTAAAAATTTGATTTTTTTATAAGTAGTTACACATATGCAATTTGTTTTTCTAAAAAATAACAATTGTTACTTTACTGAATTCCTTAGATATAATATGTTATTCTGGTTCAAATAATAATATAAAAATATGTATATATGGTTACTTTTTGTCTTATGTCACAGCAACATTTGAATTATATAATCCACTGAAACCAGACAAAAAGTCCAAATTAAAAAAAAAAGAAAAAGACTTTAAAAGATCATCTGCTCTATTACTGTAAGCGAGAGCTTTCACAACACTTTTAAGTGTTTGGGACCCAATAGTGAGTGATAACAAATATAAAATGTCCTCTTACTTCTTTATCTGTTGGAAACAGACACTCCAAAGGCTGCATGCTATGATCTAAAGTTAAGTTTTTAGAATATATGATTTAAAAGAAAGACATATTTCCTGAATTTCTTTATTAACAGTGATACCTTCTAAACTGTACCAAGAAAACTAGAGTCCTGATTTGAAGGTTTTAGGATCTAATGTATGAGTGTTATAAGCAACTACTTAAAAGATACTTGCCAGTTTAAGAAGCACAAGGTTTCTCTTGTTTTTTTGTTGGGTTTTTTTTTTTGGGGGGGGGTTCTATTGTTTTAAGCAATCATTAATAGTGATAAAATAGCAAATCAGAGTAGACTAAATAAATCTAAAACCAACAGGGAACAAAACCAAAATGTTGTTATGAATAGTGACACCAGTAGCCAAGTTCACAGACGTTTTTTCTCCATTATCCAATAAATGCCATAGTACAAGGTAATGGAAGAACCAATAATATCTCCTGGGTTTGAACAAGCACAGTAACGGTGGTCTGGCCATAGCCTCCATGATGAAGTGCCTTGCTGGCCTCCTAAGACAGCAATCAAAGGCACTGGCTGGGCATGATAACAATGCAACTCTGTCTCAGAGAAGAGAAGGAAAAGCAGATCCTAAGTTATGAGAGCATGAACCATTGAAAGCATAAGGGTAATTACAATAGCATCTAGATAATGTGTAGTTTTATGTACTTTCCTTTTGAAACACATTTACATAAAACTCTGCCACTGCAATCTGGTTAAAAAAGAACTTTTCTAATTTCAAATGTGTGCTCTTTCGATTATTAATAGAGTACAGAAAATATTTACTAAAGCATAATAAAAATCCGTATGTTCTGCAAAGATGAGTATCATGGGTGCCTAAGATTACTAAATATTGGTAGTGATGTTCATAAGGCAGTTAAAAATTTTAGTTCTTTGTATTCTTTTCTCTCTTCTTTCCATTTCCTTTGGAACTCTTCTATTCTTGAACGACCCCATTGCTTTTGTTTCCCTTAGCAACTGAAGTATGCATGCTAATGAAAAAATTCCAGAATTGGATGAAAACATCTAATTTCCTTTCCTGGGTTTCCTGGGTAATTTCATCAGGTCTACCCTTTCTTACTGACTCAGAAGTTCTGGCCAAAAGTCACCACTGTTTGAAATGTGTTTCCTCAAAACTTCAGATGTGGGACGCCTGGGTGGTTCAGTGTTTGAACGTCTGCCTTCAGCTCAGGGGTGTGATCCCAGAGTCTCGGGATCGAGTCCCACATTGGGTTCCCTGCAGGGGGCCTGCTTCTCCCTCTGCCTGTGTCTCTGCCTCCCTCTGTGTCTCTCATGAATGAATAAATAAAATCTCAAAAAAGAAAAAAAACTTCAGATGTGTTGAAAGTAAATTTTTCAAGGTAGTTTACATCTTAGTTTAAAATTTCAGTGCCAGTTAAATTTTAATCCTCACATTTTTCTATTAGATATTCATGTGGAAGCATATACACAAATTTTCCAGATTCCACTTTTGATGCATTCATGTTGGGAAAGGAGAACTGCCACCAATCAATGAACACTAATTCACTCAGCCATGTGGGAAAAATATTAGTGGGTGTACATCCTTGGTTTAGTTCCTAGGGTTTTAAATTTATCTTCAGTGAATTCACACATCTGAACACATTTGAATAAGCCAATGACTCCATGTGCTTGTGAACAAACTGATTTGGGAGCCATAAAATTGCTACTCCAATCTCTGTTCCATTCTCACTAGGCAAGTATGGTGGGTGGGTGCATGTGAACTCCATGTTGGCAATGTCCATTCCTCTTCCCCACCGCACAAACATTATGGCAAGGTATGTGCTTTGTAGCCTAATTACAAAACAGGGACATGTTGTGCCAAGAAATATTTTGCTAGCTTTATGGACTTTACCAACTATACTCTGAAACTGGAGCTGGACTCTATTCCTTGAAAGAATTAAGCCTTGTTTTTGAGACTCAAATTTTCCTCACTCATCTATTTCTGGGAATTGCACAGACATTTGGCATGTATTAGTACTGTTCAGGGTCTTTGAGCATTTTTCTGCTCCATGTTCTGAAGAATTCATCAGAAATGCTTACCCTGGTGCCATTTTGTGCACCTCATTATGCTTTAATGACATTTTTTTATTGCCCAGAAACTTACTATAATCATTTCCTTTTTTTCCATTTTTAAGGTTTGAACAGGCTTTTATTACCAGTTTGATCAGTAGTGTGGTAAAAACGAAGAACAGTTATTTTTGGATAGCTCTTCAAGATCAAAATGATACAGGAGAATACACTTGGAAGACGGCATGGGGGCAGAAGTCTGAGCCGGTGCAGTACACACACTGGAATGCACGTCAGCCTCGTGAGTAGAGGGGACTATAATACCACTTCTCCCTCCTGTTTTCTTTGACCAAAATTCCTTCCACCCCATGATACACCTCCTTTGGTGCTTCTTTTATGTTTTCTTAATGCCTAAATCAATTAAAACAATTACCACAGGTTCTCAGGGGGTGACCTATGGCTGGCTATTTTTAAAAGTATAATCCATGAGACATTTGACAGGTTCAAGGTATAAATTCATTGCTCAAGATCACATATGCCTTTATTAGCAGGAAATCCAGTTTCTTCCTTCTAAAGTCTTTTCCCCATCCCCATCCCGAACCCCCTCATTGTCCAAGAATCGCAGGGGTTTACTCAGGCCAGAATAGTCTGTTATACTTCAAAGCACACTGAATGGGCACATATGGACATATCTGTCAGTCCACAGTCAGTGCCACTCTGCTGTGGAATGCAGGCCCATTGCTTAGGTAAGACTTTCATTAATCCATCTCCTCCATGGACCTCTGTGGTAACTTAGCCAAGATTTCAGAGTTAGAGCTCTATTAGTTCACTCTCATAAGCTCAGCTCTAGATCCCAAAACATGAAACTGTACCAGGTTAGTCAGTTCCAGAGAAGCAAATGGCTCCAGCCACAACCTACACTAGAACTAGGCCCTGTGGAACAGGACACCAACCTAGACTTGACACCTTTTTGCCTCAACATAAGTTCCTATTTGGATGCCTTGGTCCCTATTTTACTTGTGGGTCTCAATAAGGCTACCCCAAGAAATGATAGGCAATAGGTTACCTCTACATTTGTTTCTAGAGGAAATGGGGCCTCAGGCTCTTCCCTGAGGAAAGATAAATATTATTGTAATATTATCAAAATAATTTTCATAAATCAAACATGTAATAATAATTAGTCAAATAACTAAATATATCAATTAAAAGAGATTGTCAGAACAGATCAAAACATAAGACCCAACCATATGTTGACTACAAGAAACCCACTTTAAATACAAAGACACATGTAGATTAAAAGGATGGAGAAAGATACACTATACAAATACTAATCAAACAAAGGCAGTAATAGCTATATTAATTTCACACAGCAGACTTCAGAATAAGGAAATTTTTTGGGGATTAAAAAAATGAACATTACGTAATGGTAAAAGAGTCAGTACTCTAAGAAGATACAACAGTCCTGAATGTGTATGTACTTAATGGCAGAGTGTCAAAATACATGAGAAAAAAGCTGATAGAACTGCGAGGAGAAATAGATGAAGCCACTATTACAATTGGAGACTTTAACACTCCCCCTATCAGATATCTATGGACTACCCAATCCACCAAGACCAAATTACACATTCTTCTCAAGCTCACATGAAATATTTGCTAAGATAAACCACATTCTGGCCATAAAACACATTTTAACAAATTTAAAAGAATAGAAATCATCCCCGAATAGCTAGGGGAATATTGCAAAAGAAAACCAAAGCCGGGGCATCACAATGCCGGATTTCAGGTTGTACTACAAAGCTGTGGTCATCAAGACAGTGTGGTACTGGCACAAAAACAGACACATAGATCAATGGAACAGAATAGAGAACCCAGAAATGGGCCCTCAACTCTATGATCAACTAATACTCGACAAAGGAGGAAAGACTATCCACTGGAAAGAGGACAGTCTCCTCAATAAATGGTGCTGGGAAAATTGGACAGCCACATGCAGAATTCTCTTACACCATACACAAAGATAAACACCATAAACAAAGATAAACCATTCTCTTCCACCATACACAAAGATAAACTCAAAATGGATGAAAGATCTAAATGCTAGACAAGAATCCATCAAAATCCTAGAGGAGAACACAGGCAACACCCTTTCTGAACTTGGCCACAGTAACTTCTTGCAAGACACATCTATGAAAGCAAGGGAAACAAAAGCAAAAATGAACTATTGGGACTTAATCAAGATAAAAGGTTTCTGCATAGCAAAGGAAACAGTCAGCAAAACAAAAAGACAACCTACAGAATGGGAGAAGATATTTGCAAATGACAGATCAGATAAAGGGCTAGTATCCAAGATCTATAAAGAACTTATTAAAATCAACAGCAAAGAAACAAACAATCCAATCATGAAGTGGGCAGAAGACATGAACAGAAATCTCACAGAGGAAGACATAGACATGGCCAACAAGCACATGAGAAAATGCTCCACATCACTGGCCATCAGGGAAATACAAATCAAAACCACAATGAGATCCCACCTCACACCAATGAGAATGGGGACAATTAACAAGACAGGAAACAACAAATGTTGGCGAGGATGTGGAGAAAGGGGAACCCTCTTGCACTGTTGGTGGGAATGGGACCTGGAGCAGCGACTCTAGAAAACTGTGTGGAGGTTCCTCAAAAAGTTTAAAAATAGAACTGCCCTGCAACCCAGCAATTGCACTGCTGGGGATTTACCCCAAAGAGACAGATGCAGTGAAATGGCAGGACACCTGCACCCCAATGTTCATAGCACCAACATCCACAATAGCCAAACTGCGGAAGGAGCCTCAGTGTTCATCGAAAGATGAATGGATAAAGATGTGGTCTATGTATACAATGGGATATTACTCGGCCATTAGAAATGACAAATACCCACCATTTGCTTCAGTGTGGATGGAACTGGAGGGTATATTATGCTGAGTGAAGTAAGTCAATTGGAAAAGGAGAAACATTGTATGGTCTCATTCATTTGGGGAATATAAAAAATAGTGAAAGGGAATAAAGGGGAGAGGAGAGAAAATGAGTGGGAAATATCAGTGAGGGTACAGAACCTGAGAGACACCTAACTCTGGGAAACAAACAAGGGGTGGTGGAAGGGGAGGTGGGCGGGAGGTTGGGGTGACTGGGTGATGGGCACTGAGGGAGGCACTTGATGGGATGAGCACTGGGTGTTACGCTATATGTTGGCAAATCTAACTCCAATAAAAAATATATACAAAAAAAATAGAAATCATACAATGTCTTCTCTCAGGCTACAGTAAATTAAACTAGAAACCAATAACAGTTGAAAGATCCCGAAATACTTAGAGATTAGACGATACATTTCTAAATAACACATGGATCAAAGAAGAAATCTCAAGAGGAATTTTAAAACCTTTTAAACTAAATGAAAATGAAAATACAAGTTATCAAAATTTGTAAGATGCAGAGAAAGTAATGCTTAGGGGAAAATTTAAGGCACTAAATGCATATATGAGAAAAAAAGAAATATCTAAAATCCATAATCTAAACTTCTACCTTAGGAAACTTGAAAAAGAAGAGAAAATTAAATCCAAAGTAAGTCAAAGAAAATAATGAGAATTAGAGCAGAAATCAATAAAATTGAAAATAGGAACTCAATAAAGAAAATCAACAAAACCAGAATTAGGTTCTTTCAAAAGATCAATGAAATTGATAATCCTGGAGCCAGACTAAGAAAAGAGAGAAGACACAAATTACTGATATCACAAATAAAAGAAGGAGCATCACTATAGCTCCCAGAGGCATTAAAAGGATAATAACGAAATTCTATGAACAACTCTATATCCACAAATTTGGTAACCTAGATGAAACTGACCAGTTCCTTAAGGTACAATCAGCCAAAATTCACACAAGAAGAAATAGACTATTGAAGTAGGCCTATAGCTATTAAAGAAATTGAAACAAAAATTCATAACTTCCAAAACAGAAAGCACTAGGTCCACAAGGGTTCACTGGTGAATTCCACTAAACATTTAAGGAAGAAATTACACCAATTCTCTACAATCTTTTCTAGAAGTTCGAAGCAGAGAGAATACTTGCTGTCCCATTCAGAGGCCAGCATTACCCTAATACCAAAATCAGACAAAGATATTGCAAAAAAAGAAAATTACAGACCAATGTCTCTCATGAAGAGAGTAGCAAAAATCTTCAATGAAATATTAATAAATTAAATCCAACAGTATAAAAAACAGTTATACACCACAACCAAGTGGGATTTATCTCAGTTATACAAGGATGATTCAACATTCAAAAATTAATTAGTGTAATCCATCACATCAATAGGCTATTTTAAAAAGTCACATAATCATATCAATAGGTGCAGAAAAATATGTGACAAAATCCAACACCTATTTGTTTTAAAAACTGTTAGCAAACTCAGAGTACAGGAGAATTTCCTCAACTTTATAAAGAACATCTACAAAACCCACAGATATCATACTTAATGGTGAAAAAAAATAAAAGCTTTCCCACTAACATCAGGAAAAAGACAACAATGTTCCCTACCAACACACCAACACTTCTTTTAAACATTGTAACTAGAAGTCCTCACTAATGCAATAAGACCAAAAAAAAAAAAAAAAAGCAAATAAAAGGTATACAGATTGGAAAGAAAGAAATAAACTTTGTTCACAGATGATAAGATTGTCTATATAGAAAATAAGAATCAATTAAAAAAACCCTTGAACTAATTAATATATGATTATAGCAAGATTGCAGCATAAAAGATTAGTGAACAAAGGTCAATTGCTTTCTTATGTAATAGCAATGAACAAGTGGAGTTTAAAATTAAAAACATTATCATTTACATTAGCACCCTCCAAATTACAACACTTATATATAAACCTAACAGAAAATGTATAAAATCCATGAGTTAAACTATAAAACTATAAACTATAAAGTTTATGAGTAAAACTATAAACTTTAATGAAATAAATCAAAGAAGAACTAAATAAATGGAGAGATATTCCATTTTCATGTCTAGAAAAACTCAATATTGTCAAAATGTCAGTTTTTCACAAACTGACCTGTAGATTCAGTACTATCCCAGTCAAAATCCCAGCAAGCTATTTTGTGGCCATTGACAAAGTGATTTTTAAGTTTATATGGGAAGGCAAAATAGCCAACTCCACAATGATGGAGAAGAACAAAGTCAGAGAACTAACACTACCTGACTTCAAGACTTACTATAAAACTAGAGTAATCAAAACAGTGTGGTATTAGGGGGGAAAAAAGTCAAATCAACGG